GTTCACCCTAGCCTTTGAATCTTGAGTTTTATTAGAACAATAGAGATTTGGCCAAAGCTCCCTAAAGGGCTAGCTAAAGTGGCAGCAACAGACTCACTGGGGAAGCAGAACCCCCCAGGCTGGGCTGCTAGCAGTGTAAAGCACATCCTCTGAAGGTGAGACAGCAGCAGATGGCACCACATAAATGAGACCGTGTTACCATTTCTAAAAATAAGGAAATGAAGCCAGGCAGTGGTGGTGAGACAGAGGCAGGAGGATCTTTGTGAGTTCAAGGCCAGCCTGGTCTCACAAGCCCCCAAACAAGTCAAACCAAAACAACAACAAAAAATAAAAACCAACAAAGAAAATGATTTGGAAACTGGAAGAATGGTTTATTTGGAATTTGTATCACTTGGTAGTTAGTCTCAGTACAGGTTAGATTTTTTTGTGGTAACAAGTTTTTTAAATTTGTTGATGTATATGCTGATGTGTTACTTTATATTTCTCTGCTAAATATATGTGGGTATGTATGTATTGTGGTGAAATGAAAATCAGCAGACAATTTTAGGGAGTTGCTTCTACCTTGTTGAGGCAGAATCTCTCGTTTCTATTGTACTGTGTACTTCAGGCCTACTGGCTCACAAGGATCTGGATAATTCTGTCTTTACCCCATAGCAGCTGGCTGTAGGAGTGTTGGGATTACAGATGTGCGGCATTGCTGGCTGTAGGAGTGTTGGGATTACAGATGTGCGGCATTGCTGGCTGTAGGAGTCTTGGGATCACAGATGTGCGGCATTGCTGGCTGTGGGAGTGTTGGGATTACAGATGTGCAGCTTTGCTGGCTGTAGGAGTGTTGGGATTACAGATGTGTGGCATTGCTTTCATGCTTTCTTTTCATGGTTCAGGGATAGACCTCAGGTTACCAGGCCTGCTTGGAAAGTGCTTATACTGCTGAGCTGTCTCACTGCCCAGAAATTTTGTTGTTTTGAGACTGAAGTCTTGCAGTATAGCTTTGGATGGCCTAATAGTTTCTTTTTAAAATATTTATTTTATGTGTGTGTGTGCATGCTTCACCTGCATGTATTTTCATGTACTTCCCAAGAAGGCCAGAAGAGGGTATTGGACCCCTTGGAACTAGAGTTATTGACGTGGTTGCTGGGAATTGAACCTGAATCCTCTGGAAGAGCAGCCAGCGCGCTTAGCTGCTGAAACATCTCTCCTGTCCCACGCCTCATATTTTCTATGTAGTCCTTGTTGGCCTTGTTCTCTTGTCAGTCCTCCTTCGGGCTGGGATTACCAGCATGTGCCACCACACCTGCTTTAAATTCAGTTTACATTTTAAGTAAACATACGTTAGTGTTGCCTTTAGTGTGCTGTTAGGCACTTTAATTCCTCTCGCTGGGTCTCTTTGGCTCTTACCTCTCAGGAGTTTGGTAGTGTTCTGTTTCTTTCCACTGTCACCGGAGACCCCAGGGAATAGAGACCCTTAGTTCAGTTTATTCAGTGTTGTCCTCTTTAAGCCCTTGCTGCCTTTTAATCCACAACTGTTCTACCAGCACTGCAGCTCCCTAAGAGACAGCCATTGTGACCTGGAGCATGAGTGTGGACTCCCCTAAGAGACAGCCATTGTGACCTGGAGCATGAGTGTGGACTCCCCTAAGAGACAGCCATTGTGTCCTGGAGCATGAGTGTGGACTCCCCTAAGAGACAGCCATAGTGACTCAGTAGCCAGCTGTGTCGTGTGGTGGCTTTTGAAACAGTGTTCTTCAAAGGGTTGCTGGGAATCTAAAGGAGATGCTAGGTGCTTCTTGCAATGGATGAGGTCACCTCTAGAGCAGAGGAGTGGAGTGCAGAAAGTTAGGAGTTCTGCACTGAAACAAAATCAATTTTGAGATTTCCAGAAACATCTGGGGTAGAATGTGACCCTTCCCAAGGTTCTACACAGTTGGCCCTTAATCCTGTTTAGAATTATCTGTGCCAGTAACTTCTTGCTTCTCAGCTGGGGTGAGGCTTTAACCAGAATCTGATTGAGGAGTTGTCTTTCCTGTTCATGTCCTCATAATTTTTTACCTATATTTTTTCCCCAGTCTCATCCCTTAGCTACATATCAAGTTCAAGGCTAGCCTGGTCTACATGAGACCCTATTTCAACAAAATAAAACAGGCCGAGGATATAGTTTGATAGAATACTTGCTTAGCGTTCGTAAAGCCCTGGGTTTCATTTCGAACTCCCCATAAAAATTGTAATACTAGTGCTTGGGAGGTGGAGACAGGAGAATCAGGAGTAGATCCATTGGGTGTCATGGTGCATGTCATTAATGGCCAGCCTGGTCAACAGAGCAAGTCCAGGACAGCCAGGACTACACAGAGAAACCCTGTCTCATAAAGTCAAAAAATAACAACAGCCCTTCTCCGAAACCAAAAACATATATATGTGTGTATATGAATATATATATGTGTATACATACATACATACATATGTATATGTATGAAAACAAAATCAACCTGGGGTGCAGGGAGCAAACACAAATTCACTCCTAGTTCCACCAAACAAGTACTTGGTTGTGTTTCAGTTGCTACAAGTGATCAATAGTCCCATTACTGGACCATTCAGTTATGTGTGTCACAACAACACAATGTTTTATTTTGCTTTGTTTTGAGATAGGATCTTCTGTAGTACAAGTTGGCCTCAAATGTACTATTGTAGGTGAAGATGATCTTGAACTCTTGGTTGTTTTTTTTTTTTGAGACAGGTTTTTGCCATGTAGCTCTGGCTGTCCTGTAACTCACTCTGTAGACGAGACTGACCTCGAACTCACAGAGATCCACCTGCCTCTGCCTCCTGAGTGCTGGGACTGAGGGCAGGCGCTATCACTGCCCAGCTTATTTATTTATATTTTGAGACAGTTTCACCTAGCCCATGCTCACCTGGAACTTTCTGTGTCACCAAGGATGACCTTGATCTTATGCTCCTCTTGCCTGCACCTTCTGAGTATTGAGATTATAAGCATGAGTCGCCAGGCCTGCCTTCAGAACTGGTGTTCCTCTTAGCCTAAGTTATATGATAATGGGTTTCATTATGATGCTTCCATACATGTATTTAATGTATAACAATCATATCCACTCCCCTCTCGCCCTTCCTCTCCCGCTAGTCTTCTCAGCCGTCCCCTTCTAATCTTGTGTCTTATGTCTGAGACTAAGTTACATAACTGTTGCTGTGCAGAATTCTCTGAAGAGACCTGAGGAAGGTCATTTGACGTGGAGTTCAGGCATAGGCTGTCATGGTGAGTGAGGAAGGCATGGCAGCAGGAGCTTGGTGCTTCAGGCTCAACATCACTCTCACAGACAGGAAGACATGAATTTTAGTGCTCAGCTCCCTTTCTCTACTTGCAGCGCCTGTGGACTGGTGCAGCTCACCATTAAATACCCCACCCCAATTATGCTAACCTGATGATCTTTCACAGGCTCACCTGATCTAGCTGATCCCTCAGGCTTGTAGTGCCTGGAACCTTGCCTCATAGCTGACTCCAGATCTTGTTTGCAGTCATTCTAGCTACCACAGCATCCAGAGTTCCGTTGGGATTGTTTGCAGTTGTGTGGGTGACTGTTGCAGGAGGACGGACACAGCCATCACGGGAGATGTCTCTTGTTAGCCTCAGATACATCCTGGGGAGGAGAGCTTCCCCATAAGCCCCTCTCCCCAAACTGATTTTTTAAACTCAACTTAAAATACTTATTTTTATTTACGAGTGTTGGTGTGAGTGTCTATTGTGTGTGAGTGCATTTAGAGCCCAGAAGGTGTCAGATCCTGGAAGTGGAGTCTCACACAGCTGTAAGCTGCTCTGTGTGGGTGCAAGGACTGAATTAAGGTCCTTTGGAAGAACAGCAAGCCTTGCTACTTGCTGAGCCATCTCTTTAGTCCTGATTTTAAATGTAAATACAAACTAGGTTAGTTACAAGTTAAATTTCTTTTTTAAAAATATTTATTTATATATTATGTATATAATATTCTGTCTGTGTGTATGTCTGCAGGCCAGAAGAGGGCACCAGACCTCATTACAGATGGTTGTGAGCCACCATGTGGTTGCTGGGAATTGAACTCAGGACCTTTGGAAGAGCAGGCAATGCTCTTAATCACTCAGCCATCTCTTCAGCCCCCAAGTTAAATTTCTTCAAAACTGAATTTGAACTTGAGGCTTAATATCTTTCATTTTTTACATCCTGTGCATTCCTTTCTTATTTTTTTTTTGATTAAAAATTATTTTTATGTGTATGGGTGTTTTGTCTGCATGTACACTTGTACCACGTGCATGCCTAGTATCCAGAGAGGTCAGAAGATATTGGGGTTCCCTGGAACTGAAGTTACAGACAGTAGTGGGTGCTAGGAATTGAACCCAGGTCCTCTGGAAGAGATATCTCTAGCTCCTTCAGAAAAAAAAATTAAAAACATTTATTTATTTTGTGTGTGTGACCCCATGCCTGTGCGTGTGAGCACTTGCTGTGAAGTTGTTTCTCTCAGTCTGCCGTGTAGGACCCAGGGATCAAACCTGTTTGTCAGACTTGGCAGCAAGTGCCTTTCCTGATAAGAGTATCATGGTACTGCTTCCCCCAGACCCCCTTTCCTGTTTTGAGTCATGGTGTCCCTATGGAGCCCAAGTAGTCTAAGCCACTTGAGTGCTGGGAGTACAGGAATTCACCACCATGCCCACCCACATGCTATGCTTGCTGTCATTGGAATAATTGTGATGTCTCTCTCCTCCCTGAAAGGAAGGATACTTGAGGGAAGGGCTGATAGTGGTCCCTCATTCTAGGCCTCTTAAGTAGTTGTAGCCCGATGGGTAGCACCAATTGTGTGTGTGTGACAGACTGACAGACAGAAAATTTGGCAGACTTATCCCATTTTTTGGTATGTGTATGTATTTGCCTTTAGTCTTAGTGACCGTAGCAGAGTGGCCCCCCTAATGAAGAACACTGGTGTACTGCTCTGGCTCACAGGCTTACCCCATTGTCTTCTTCCTGCAGGCGCTGTGTCCAGGTCGTGCATAAACTGCTGTGTTACCAGAAGAAGTGTAGAGTTCGCCTGCACTATACCTGGCGGGAACTCTGGTCAGGTAATGCTCCTCCTTGAGCTGTTCTCTTTCTCTGTGCTTCGTATGAGCTTGCACTCACACTACTTTTATTCCATGTGCTTTGTTAGGATGACTCCATTTCGCTCACACTATTTATTTTTAACATTTTGCCTTGTTTGAATCTAGATTTCAAATGCTATGTGGACCACACTTTCTTTCCTGTTCCTTCTCATTCTCTGTACTTTTCTTTTCTTCTTTCTTTTTTCTTTCTTTCCTTTTCTTTTCTTTTCTTTTCTTTTCTTCTCTTCTTTCTTCCTTTCTTTCTTTCTTCCTTCCTTCCTTCCTTCCTTCCTTCCTTTCTTTCTTCCTTTCTTTCTTTCTTTTCAGCCTTTGATGGTTTCTTGAGTTTTAGGGCTAAAGATGTATCTGGTAGAGTACAAGCATAAGAGTCTGGATTTGATCCCTAGCACTGAGGAAAAAAAAAAAAAAATCTAAGGAGAGGATATAATTTGTTAGCCAGGCATAATGGTTCAAACCTTTAATCCCAGCAGTGGAGGGAAAAGCAAGTAGATCTCTCTGAAATCAAGACCAACCTGGGATACATAGTGAATTCCAGGTCATTCAGTGCTGTGTAGTGAGACCCTTAAAAAACAAAACCAACCAAACAAAAATGTCTTAAATCTCAAAGATTCTGGCCTTGTGTAGCAGCGAGGAGTCAGTGCAAACTTGGATTCTCATCCACTTCCATTTGGTAGCAGCATATGGACTGTAGGGAACGGCTGTGTTTCCTCAAAATGAGTAATCTCAGGGGGAATGGCATTAGGAGGTGGTGGGGATGGGGCGGGGAAATGGGGGAAGCTCTGCTCTTTTGTTACATCTGGCATTATTACTGTTTACAGACTATGTAGATGGCACCACTCCCCCTGGGCCAGAGACAAAACAGAAAATTATAATGTTTACTTTTGTCTTTATATCCATTTGGTAACCCAGTAAAGTCACTGCCACCTCTGCATGCGGGAAGTGTCTCTTCTCTAAGGGTACAATTAATGGTAGCTTGCCACCCTTTTTGTGTGTGTGACTAAATTAGAGGTTTTGGGAAAGCAAAATTTGTTCTCTAAGGCAGTTGCTTGCTGATAGGTCCTGTGGCTTTTGTGACCCGAGGCTATAATAGTTTTCTCTCAATGATTACAGATGAGTGGCTGCCCCACCCGTGGGGTGCTCCTCTGTATTCTGAACTGAGGAGAGTCGTTAGTGTCAGGGGCTCTGTAAGAAACAGGCCAGGAGCCCAGCCCCCTTCTATGGAATTTATCTCCCTGTTGTGACACATGGTTTCCTCCCAGCTTAATTTGGCTTTCTAAATTTAGTCCTCCATAATGGGAAGTAGAGATCTTTAATTAATGGATTAGCAAGCAGTTACTGTGTGTGATGGTGGAAGGGAGGGGAAGAGAATCACACTAACAGAGCAGCAGTGGCCGTTGTAGTTGGAGCTTTAGAAGAGAGTTTGGAATTGAGGGCATGTCAGAAGAGATTAGAAGGGATCAAACTGACAAGTTAAGTTTTCTGCATGTGTGCATGCATGTGCGTGTGTGTTTTGTTTGACACTGGGTTTTGCTATGTAGCCCAGGCTGTCCTTGAACTCAAAGAAAGCAGTCTTCCTGCCTCAGCCTCCCAAATGGCTAGACTTCTAGGCATGCACCACCCACACTTGTTGAGTAAGCTGAATATAATTTTTTTTTTTCGAGACAGGGTTTCTCTGTAGCTTTGGAGCCTGTCCTGGAACTTGCTCTTGTAGACCAGGCTGGCCTCGAACTCACAAAGATCAGCCTGCCTCTGCCTCCCAAGTGCTGGGATTAAAGGCGTGCTCCACCGCCACCCAGCTAAATGTTTTATAACAGAAAGGACTCTTGTTATTTTATGTAGATAATAATATAATTATAAAGCTCTGAAAGCTAGCTTGTCAAAGAAAATGCAAAACAGTGCAAATTTGTGTACTTGGTTCAATTATAGGACGTAGAACAAGTGGCAATGGTTAGTGTGTGTTTGAGATGGAGTTGCATGCAGTGTTTAACAATTCTCTGGCTACAGTTGCCTGCTGCTTCTGGTTCTCGTCTACTTTTACTTCCTTCTCCTTCTTGATCATTCTCACCTTGCCCTCCGTGTCCTCCTCATTCTGGGTCCTTTTTACTCAGTGTCCTGTGTCCTTGTGTGTCGCACACTGCTCTCTACTCTGCCTTCTTCTGTTGTCCTCGGGCTTTTCAGGCTTCCGGTTGTTTTCTTACTTACAGTTCATAGTCACCTTTTTATTTATTCATTCTTTTATTTATTTTTTATTGGTTTTTCGAGACAGGGTTTCTCTGTGTAGTCCTAACTATCCTAAAACTTGTTCTATAGCTCAGGCGGATCTTGAATTTAGAAGTCTGCTGTTAATTCCACTGAACAAGGGTAAAAGCTATTACCCAAATCTTTTTTTTTAAATTCATACTTTAAAAAAATATTTATTTGTTTGTTTGTTTATTTATTTATTATGTATACAGTATTCTGTCTGCATGTATGCCTGCAGGCCAGAAAAGGGCACCAGACCTCATTACAGATGGTTGTGAGCCACCATGTGGTTGCTGGGAATTGAACTCAGGACCTTTGGAAGAGCAGGCAATGCTCTTAACAGCTGAGCCATCTCTCCAGCCCCCAAATTCTTTTAGTAAAATTAAGCAAGCTTTATTTTCTGTCAGACAGGGATGTCTCCCTGAAAGAGTAGTATCGCACATAGGAGACAGTAGATTTATAGCCCCCAAAACTATAAGACTAGGGGATTTCCAAGGGTTCAGTGAATTTTTGGTTATGTAGGAACTTGGTTGAACATCTCAAACTTCTTTGTCAGAACATCTTATTTTATAAGGATGGAGATCAGGGTATAGGCTTTGGAACATGTCAAATTCCAGAAAATTGGTCAAGTCCTGGTCAAATTTAAGTTTTGCAGAAAATGGGAATGAACTTACTTCAACTTTGGAAAAAGATGGCTTCTAATCTTAAAATGGAGTCAGGCTGGTCCATCACTGCCTACCTCTGCCTCCCAAGTGCTGACTTTGATTGAGTATGCAACTATACCTGGCATTTTGCCAGTCTAGTTAGTAACTTATGAAGAAAAAGACAATTGTTTATCATGTATTGATTGGTTGACTTCGTGACTGAGAACTTCTGTCATGTTCAGCTCCGTGATCACTTGCTATCTTGGTTTGTGTTCTGCGGTCGTTGGTGTATCAAACAGAGGTTGTAGAAGAATCATTAGTGAGGCCAAGATGCCTGCTTGTTCCTAAGGTGTGGATGTTTGTGTTAGAGGCTTCCGCCGAGTGAGGGCTAGCTTCCTTCCTTTCTTTTGTAAAGGTCACATTCATTTAGTTACTTCCTGTTGCTGCACATCACCCGTGCTTGGGAAGCTAAGAGGACAACTTACTAGAATCAGTTATCACCGGCCACTGGGGGACCCAGCGATAGAACTCAGGCTGTCAGGCTTTGTGTCAAGTGCTTTTACCCTTTGAGCCCTCCTTTTCTTTTAGTGACCAAGTGAGCTCTTTTGTAACTGTGGTTCTGTGTGTTCATACATGGAGTATACGGTGAGATGAAGAACGGCAGGTGTTAAGGAAAGCTGCAAAATACAACGCTCCATCCAGTGTAGTGAGGGAGCCCATAGTAACGTATGCTATTGCATTCAGTGGGTACAAGTTGTGGCTGTGGTGGAGCCGCCCACTCCTTGGCTGGCGCTACCCTCATATGTTGGAATGCCCGTGTTTTCATTTCCTTTTGGCTTCTAGGTTTATGGATTTGAGGGAGGAGTGAGAAACTCATCATGGCAAATATACCAGTGTAGAAAATGCTTGCCCATATATGTGTTATGAATTATAAATGAATTTTATTTATAAATAAGAGTGTAAGGCACGTAAGGTTCGACTGAACAACCAGAAACCCTTGAGCTTATAGAAGACACTCGGGTAGGGTCAGGTGCCTTCGTGTTTGGAATGTGGGTGTTCAGTGTCCTTGTTCTTGAGTGCTGATTTTTATTTCTGGGCTTGTTCTTTGTTCTGCGGTAAAATTGTCAGAAATATTGAAAATTTCTGAAATGAATTCCCCCAAAAAATGCTAGAGAGGAAAAGCCAACTGTATGTATTAGCTAGGGGCTTAATCCCACTTGGTACCTCTTCCTGCTTTTCGTATATAAGCCCTGACCCACTTCCTACTGCCACTTATTTGTACAGTGGCTGTTGCCATGGCATCTGAGCATGTAGGAGGTCGTTCTGAACTCACTTCAGTTGGAATATGGAAGAAGGAAGTCCTGGGGTTGCTTTGCCTTTCTTTTTAGGAACTGTCATTTCCCCCCAAGATATAGTTTGGGAACTCTCTTCTGACCTTCAAATACCAGTCTCTGAGCAAAAGCTTACCTGAGACTCCCCTCTGAGGACAGAAAGTGAGGTTTGGAGATCAGATCCTAATGAGACAGTTCTTTCTCTTTGAAACGAGAATGAAAGTAGGGCCCTGCGTATCCAGAAAGTGTCTGTCCATGTGTGTGTACATATGCTCCATGCAGTTTAAGGAGTGTCTGAACCCTGTGAGGCTTCCCATGCTCTCATATGGAAAAGTCACTACCCTTATTTTATGTTCCATAACTTCCCAGTGAATTATTTTGTCACAGAATATTCTAGTGTCTAGTTAAGCTTTTTTTTTTTTTCCTGATCATACTGCATCCTATGGGGACTTTTAGCAGCATCTTCTCTCTGATTTTTCTTTTTTTTTTTTAAGGGCCGCACTTTGTAGTGCTGGCTGGCCTGGAACTCACTATGTAGACCAGGTTGGCCTAAATACATAAGTTTGCCTCTGGCTCCTGAGTTCTGGGATTAGAGGTATGTACCACAACACTCAGCTTCTCTCTGAACTTATTGAGGCTACAGATAATATTCTTCATTGTGTCTAACTTCCTGCTTGTCCCTATGGCACTTTGGGCCATTTCATTGTGTGTGTTCTGGGTCCCGAGCCTGGGTCCTCTGAAAGAA